CCTCAGATCCAAATTTTCCAGAGAAACTCACCCATGCCACACATTACTTATCAAGCAGTAACTGCTCCTTCTCTTTGAGAAGCTCACAAAGCTGAAAAAGCCCAAATGACTGTGAAAGAGTGAAACAGAAGTGCTCTAGACCAAGCAGCATGCAGGAGTTACAATAAACTTGGTATATTCTTTCTTAAGAGGTCACTTTCTGTTGCAGTGTGACTTATTTGGCACTACAGAACTGCTGTGAGCCAACAGCCAAACACTGAGTGAAAATACTGCAAAGCAATCCCGATGTCTTCAGTGCTTTGACTGATTCATGTACTTTCACACTGAACACCAAAAGAAGGCAGAAGGCCTTGGACTTTTAGCTAACAGAGCTATCACAAAGAAAAGCTCAAAGAAGAATGTGAAAAAGTCATCTCTAGATTACCATGAGCAAAGCTAACGCTGGGTTTTCCTTATCTGTAAGCAGGTGTGCAAATGAACAGAACAATGCAGCCACAATGCGGCACAAGACTGCCAGCGTCCAAAGAAATGCAGCAAGGAGGCTGCTCACACATTTCTTACTCACAGCTCCCATTGTCTGCCCTGTGCAGATATTAACTCTTTGCTCCCCCCTTCCTGAAGAAGGTCCCTCTATCAACAGTTCCCCTATTTAAAGCTTTCGCTGACCCACTCGAAGCTCCAAAGCTTGATTCATTTTGACTTTACATTCAATTATGGGCTAAGATAAGGAGGGGAGAGACCTCTGTCCACACATTAACAAAAGCACACACTGATCTGCATGCAGACAAGCCTCCTGGTGGCACCCATCGGGCTGCCCAGACCTAACAGAGGAAGCTGATGAGAAAAGGAGGAGATTGAAAGATCGAGCAAGAAACATGACGAGCAGAATTTGATGTTGGGTTTCAACAAGTTACTTCTGGGGGGGAAAAAAAAGAGAAGTCAATGTTTTCCAGTTATTGTATACGACTTTACCACTTCCATTTTTATGATAACTGCTTTATAGAAGGCTCTCTGTGGTCTGCTTTAACTTCTTCCTTCTTGTAAAGAATACCCTCAAAAGCTTTTGCTTAAGCCAGCAGCAGCCCAGCAGTCTTTCCCAAGCAGAACTCACCAGATACCAATTGTTAGTTTAATCATGGGAGAGATCCATTTTTTAATTTGGCCACCTTTACACCGCTAATTAGGTAATATTTTGCCGATTAGTTGAACCCAATCATTCCATTTCAGTGAAGTCACGGTGTCGTGTCGGAACACAGTGCTGGGTGCTCCGAGTCACCACGGCTGGGTGTGGTGAGCGTACTTTGTTCTGCTCCTGCACTGGGAGACCTGCATGAGGACATGGAAAAGCAATCCAGCTCAAGGCACAGGACCTCTGAGCAGAGCTGCAGAGATGGGTTTCGCATGTGTCCGACTGCCACTATCACAAAGTTCATCTCTTTAACTCCTTGCAGACAAGAAGCCGCCTCTCCGAGCAGGAAGTTGTTTGGTGGAACTCCTGACGCAATGCAAACCGAAGCAGTTGCAGCTTAGTTTAATACAAACCCTCTTGAGTCCACGTTGACAAATTCTTTAACAAGCCCTGTGGTTACAGGGAAGCTGGTTTCAGTCTGAGTCACTCCTGTTCAAACAGTTTACTGGAAATGGAGGGGAGGGGGAATTTTCAGAGAAGTCATGTGATGGCCAGACAAACCACAACCAGTAAAGGTTCAGTGGAGGCAAAAACAGGTCCCAGCAGCAACGGGCAGCCAGTGTGCAGATGGCACTGGTCATTTACCAGGGGTCCTGCTGCACCCCGGCATTTCTGTAGATTTAACCCTTTGTCAAGTTTGTGTCCTTGCAGAGGCAGGATGCAGCCTGGGCAGTCAGCGAGCAGCAGGGGCTGACAGTAACACAGGCAACTCCCAAACATTTTCACGTGGAAATTTGGCTTGCAGAGAAGCAAAGCCTAATGTGTAAATAATTAGTTTTTTAAAATATGCTACTTAATGAATCCAAGCACTTGATGTCATTACGGATTAGACAGATAGCAAAGATTTTGGTACTTCTCTTAGCAAAGAGTGCTGTGGCACTGCAAGGCCCACGCAGCATCCCTCAGCAGGAACCTCGAGGGCAGCTGGCACTGAGCTCCATGTGCACCAGAAACCTCTGCCAGCTTATGGCACTTCAGCACAAGAAAACTCAAGAGCACTTCGCAATCAGCAGCCGTTAATCACGAGCAAAGGAAAAGCCCTGCACTCGGGTGCGTGGCCACAAGGCACAGAGCTCTGCTCGCACTGTATGATCAGCAATGTGCTGCCCCAGCACTGAGCAGCAGATTCACTTCCCCTAATTGAGAGGTTGGTTTGAACGCAGTGCTGCAGATCCCCACTGCCACGAGGGAGCTCTGCTAAAAATCACCGCTGCCCTGGAGTTTGACTGGAAGAGAGTTCAGAGCAACTGGACACAATTTTAAACATGTATAATTCTAAAACAGTGCCTAAGCACTAACAAATCAGAGCAAGCTCTGCTCCTGTAGCATGCTGGGCTCTGCATCGTGTGCAGCTCTGAGAAACGAGAGCCCTGCCTGTAAGCCACACTCCTTCTCTGGGACAAAGCCACTCCATTTGAACAAGAGCAGCCACAAGGCAGGAGAAGCTCTGGAGCTCAGTGTGTGCAAACAGGACTGGCTCAGCAGCACACACAGATGCTTGGAAAGGAGAAGTGAGTGTGCTTTAAAACGAGGGGCTTTTCCAAAGTACAGCAATGGGGAAAGTACGAGGCAGCCTCGCATCATCTGCAGGATAATGGGTTTTCTCAAAACCCAGCTCAAGGAAAAAGGTCACTTGGATTTACAATTGACACAGCATCACCCAACAGACTCTTCAAAGTAAAGTAAATAATATTTCACTCCATGCAGTTTTGAATGGAGGACTAGAAGAGAATTAACAGTGTAAAATTTTAAGTTCCCTTTTTTTTGGTGGTTGTTTTTTAAGCTGCCAAACTAGCAGGAACATTCCCCCCTCAAAGATCAGTCAGGCTGGATGTTCAATTCATGGCCTATTCTCACCATAGAAGATCCTCATCTGGTTCTCAAAATTACCATTGTTTTTTGAGAAACAGCAGCAAGCAGCTCTAAACAAAACACACGCAGGCAGAACGTCAAGCTGTTTGGCTGTGCCTCGTAGGCATTCTCTACTCAGCAGAAGTAGAGGGGGAGGCTATTCTTCCAAACCCAACGCACCCGATTTCACGCCCTTCAATACGGCAGGCTGAAGCGAGACCTTTCTGCTGAGAGAAGGCTTCTGTCACTTGACGTCAAACAGCCGTGCAGCCTCCATGGAGTGACACACTTGTCACATTCCCTGCTTTCATGGCCATAAGACCTAAACCTGCAGAATGGCACAAGCTGATGTAGGTAATAAAGACTGTTACTGAGCGATTTAAAAATAGACTTTATAACTGGTCACGGAGTTGCAATTACAGAACAAATAGTGATAAGCTGTGCTAACGATTGGGATTTACTCAAGGTCATAGGAATAGGCAGGCCTGCCTCCCACAGACATCTAGCAAAAACACGATCGATGCCAAAAGCCAAAAGGAAGTCATATTATTAAGTGGAAAAAACTCAACTGTCAGTTTTATAAGTGCAATACAATTTAATCACACTGTCAAAGCCTCATGTTAAGAGAATTTTATAGAAACCAAACCACAAGTGTAGTTCAAAAAGATTTTTTTTCTTTCTGGCTATCCATCCACAAAACATGTTTCAATCCCAACTCAACTGTCAAGAAAATAAAATCAAAAATACTGTTAAATAACAGCACCATTTCCCTTAATGAGTGACACAGTGCCACCCGTCTGCTCAGAGCAGTCCATGCAGCCAGCCACGCTTTGGCCTGTCCTGACAAAACGCTCTCTAGCAAAAACTTTCTGCCCAAGAATCTCACTGTGCATTTTGCAAACGGCTCTGGCTGCTCCCAGAGCTTTATGTGCTGTAATTTGCTGGGAGTTTCAGTAAGCACAGATAGCACCTCAGCTCTCAAGTCATGCATTTGACTGGTGGTGTTTCTTTAAATGGGACGTGCGTTTTATACAGCTGGGGATTACTTTGCCAAGCAAAGACTGACAGCACAACAAAGACCAAAGCAGTTTTGTTTTTCTTTTTGCCCCCTTCCACTACATCTTCAAAGAAACAGAAGAATTTACTGATGAAATAGCAGGAAAACCCTATGGAACTTTTTAGCAGGGGAAGGCTCTCATAAAACACAGGGCTCACTGTTATCATTACTAGATTGCACTCAGTATTTCCAAAAGCTTCATCCATTATTGAGGAGGGGAAAAGCGAAGTATTTATTTATATCAAGAAAGTTCCCTAGCAGAACAGTTAATGGCTATGGATGGCTTCTGAAGAAGATGCAAACTCCTGTCCTGAATGCAGAACTGTAACATCTGACTGACGTACAGCATCAGTTGCAAACCATGTTATCACACAAATGGTATTTAATCTTTCAAGAGAACAAATCACAAGATCAACAACATAAAGGGATTCAGGGCAGTTTCACTGCATTTTTCACATCAGGAAAAATATGTTTCCTCTGACTGATGAGGCTGTCAGCAGCCAAGGTCATGTGGGGAGGGATAAGCTGACTGACAGTCACCTGGCCCAGGGAGGTTTTAAACGCAGCTTTTCCATAATCATGTTTGTTACAGCCTCTCCTCTGTCACCAACCTGTTTGCTTTCTCTCTACCTATACTGTGCTGCCTTTGGAACTGTAAATAAATGCAGCATTCGTAGCAAATGCTTTGGCTGCACTACCACACGTGCTTCAACAAGCTCAATTCTCAATCTCCTACCCCCAGAGGTATCTCTACCTGACGGAGAATCTCCCTCCACCCCTGGGAAGTCCCTTGTGTACTTGCACCAACTGATCTTGGGCCTATTCCCATTTCACTGCAATGGTTATTTACTCCCATCTAGTAATGCTGTGTTTTATTAATTCTTTCTTTTGCACTGTTCTTACTTGTGCAGTCTCTGCATGTTCCAGCATCTCCTCAAATTCCTGGTACTCTTCATCATCAGGTTCAGCACCAGAGAGCCGGGCTGCCCTCGCCATAAAATACGGAGGCAGCTCTCCGATGGCTGTGCCAGCACCCTGGGAAGAGAATAATCCAGATTTATTTCTCTGCTCTCAAATGGGAAACGCGATATGCACAGACAATTCAAAAGGTTAGAAGCCAGAGATGTGTGCCGCGTTATAACTGCAGAGCTGTGCTTTGAGGAGCTTGCTTTCATCCACCAGGACCGCTTTTTCCTGACATTAAATAAAAGCCACTAGCTTTGAGATCCCATTTTTCCATATTAGGGAAATGCAGCTTTTCTCATTGCAGAGCCACACTGCAAGGTCACTGCCGTGAGCCCTGCCTGCCCTGGGGCCAGCATTGTGCTGCTCTGGGGTGCTGCAGCCCATCCCCATCCCACTTTCTGGCCCAGCCCGGCCATCTCGCCTCCTGCACGGAGCCAGGCACACTTGCCAGCATGTGACAGCTCCTGCACAGCCTGCACAGCGATCTGGGAGCTCCTCCCCTGTGCCGTCATGCAGTTTACTTACGGTTCACAAAGTCATGAGACCTTGTGCAAGTGTTTATTAGAAAACAGGGTCAAGTTTTACTACAGCTATGAGCAAGGAAACAAAGCTCGATCTGGAGATTTCTCTCTCCTTAAGATGGAATAAAGAAAGCCAAGAGAACCAGAGATGAAAGCAAGGTTCCTTTCTCACCACAGGAAAATTACATTTGTTTTCTCAAGACATCAAATGACTCATTTCAGTCTTGTGGGTAAATACAACTTTAGCTTAACCAAAGAAAAAGAGCAGAAAAGAGAGACGACCGAGACTGAACATATGGATAAACAGAGGCTAATGAAACAGGAACTTGGATTAAACTCAGAATAGTTTAAATATAGGACAGGTAACACACAATAGTCGGGCAGCACACTGGAAAAGTGCTAAAACTGAGCTGCACGCAGATGGCTTTTCTTTCTTAGGGTCGGGAGTGAGTAACAAATGGTTTTCTATCCCTTTGAAGCTATGTAAAAGCCTTTCAATTTCCTTTGTTCCCACTACTATATGCAGCTGCATGTGAGGGAGAATTCCAGCTGCTGTGGGTACTCCAAACCAACAGGTTGTGGCTTTCCATCCCGCCATTCTCTGCAGTTACCCCACCTGCTAAGGTCTCACTTCAAGCACATCATCACATCATGCCTCGTTTTCCACAGCAGAAAAGCTCAAACGGGTGCAACAAGCTGAACTTCATTAATCTGCCTGCTGCTGGCACAGGGGGGAGATCAGTCTGCACACAGTAGCAAGGATGGTTCAGAAAAATTCACTTGAGGTTATGTTCTCAGGGTGATGCAAGAGCAAAAAGTCACATTGCTCCTCCAGGCTCTGCCAATTCGCCTTGGCTTCGTTCTGCTAGCTGAGGAAGAGGTTTGCATGCGTGTACTGGACGTGAACTTTCATTAAAGTGGATCAGTCACATGCACATTACAAAACATCTCCGAGTTGCAGCAACATCATATGATTGCAGGGCTACCCAAGATAGGTTCCCTAAGAATGTTTAAGGAAAAAAATAAAGCAAGCAATTAAGGATACAACCCAGTAACTATTTAACTGCTTTCTGTAACATTAGCTCTGTAACACCGAATAAAAGTTCTGCTGGCTGCAAATTGGAAAAGCAAATAGGTGCTGAGCAAAATTCTTTTACACAGTATATTCAGAAAAGGAAATGGGGAAATGACTCCACTAGAAGAGTTGTTAGAACTGATTTTGTCCCAGTCAGGATACAGGCTGCCTGTTCTGCTAATCCCCAGCAATTAAAGATTTTTATTCTTTCCCCTCCTTTCTTGTACAAAAAAAAAAAAAAAAAAAAAAAAAAAGAAGAAGAAAAAAAAAGCTGCAACACATTAAAAATGTAGGGCATTATTGAATTCCTCGTCCCTGTGGGATAGCAGGCTGTGAAAACTGGCATACACCTAGCAGATTGTTTTGGGGAGTCTTTCTGCAGGCCAGGACTGGTAGAGCCAATTTTTATAGTGATTTTTAAAACCATCATTTCCATTTCACCTAATAATTCCTTAGATACGGTGGTATTTAATTCCAGCAACACTCATTATCAGCAGAAATGAGAATCACTGACGTGCAGGGGAGCAGTAATGATTTTAATCTCTGGAAAAAGCTGTACCTGGTTTAGGTTGGCTGGAACAGATGCTGATGTTTTTGCGATCTGAACCCAATCCCTTCTGCAGAGCAATCCCTGCACTCAGGCCTTGCAGGATGCTCAGCCTGGGCCGCCTTACAGGCAGAGCTCTGCCGAGCGCCCCGCTGGGACCGTCCTGCTTTCAACGTTTTACATGAAATCTTATCTTCCTACCCCTCTCCTGTCTCCTTCCAAACAATCAGGGAGATCAGCAGCTCTCACTCTGCAGCCTTTCGACAGCGTTTCACTTTACAAGGCTGAAGGAAAGAGGCTGGCAGCGCTGCTGCACCTCTTCCTCTCAGAGCTCCACGTGCTGTGCAAGGAGCACATCTGCACACATCCAGTCACTCCTTTGCTTTTGCATCTATCCATTCAGATTTCACATCCAATTAGAAGTTCCCACTTTCACTAAAAAAAAAAAAACAAACCAAAAGAGTTCAGTCAATGAAATCCAATGAGGAATTACACTATTTCCCATTTCACTTCCAAGCTGAAAATGAATCCAAATCAAGAATTTTTAGTAAGGTTCTGAATTGTAAAAGCTCATCTTGCTTTGTCTTCTGGAGGCTGCTGTTACTTTCCATATCAGTGGGATCTGCTTTAGGTACGATAGAACCCAGAGTTTCTTCAACAGTTTCCATAAAACATGAACTGGAATTAGGACAAAAGAAACACACTGGAAGAAGCAGCAGCACTCGCCAACGTGATCTGGCTTACAGGAAATTAGCAAGCGATGTTTATGTACTCATGAAACATTCCAAGAAAGCATAACATTACACTAGACACCACTGAGAGATGGGGATGCTCCTGAGGGAAAAGTGAGTGGAGACAGAGGTCAGCAGCAAGGTGGTGGTCAGGGAACTCCAAGGCGAGAAGGGAAGGAGGGGAGGGGGATGGTTTGCTCCAACGCCTTTCTCCTTTCCACAGCCTGGACCAAGAAATGCTGCTCTCACAAAGGACTGGAGGTACTGCTTGTTCTGCTCTGAAGGACGCAAGCTTTCAATGCTTGCAGTGCTATTAATTCATTTCTGAGCTAATTCTCATCATTGTTCAGTTATTCTAGATGCTGAAGATTAAGCAACGCGTGTTTACCCTTAGTTGCGTTTGTATTTTGCAACCTAGAAACATGATTATAAATGCCATTTTTGTCTTGCATTAAACAAACTCAAGCAGAGGCAGAGCAGCAGCAAAATAAAAAAAGAAAAAAAAGCTTATATTTATGGTCTTATAAGTACTTGCACCTCCAGCCACACATCAAGCATTCAGGGGAATCTGTGCTCTCATTAGAAAGACTGAAAATTAAGATGCACTTTGCTTCTCAAAAGTGCTTCAAGTTCACTTTTTCCATTACTAAAATCACAATGGATTTTGTAAATTACTCCACATGAACACTGTGAGCTGTACATTACTTTATCTGACAAGACTTGAGTCCATGATGCCATAGCCTCATTCCTGTAGGCAGTGGAGCTGCTCGTCAGTTCTAAAGCTGTAGCGACCAAAGTTGCCTTAAGATGCCTTCTTGTACAACTGGGCAGACAGCAAATGCTATTTGTTTTCAGGATTTCCTCTCTGCACATTTGAATTTGACATTTAATTTAACAATTAAATGGTCCCTCAGAAGAGGAATCCAGCAGTAAAAACAAAGTGAATTGGCATACAGTTCTCAGCAGATCCATCTGTGTAAACTGGGATTTAAAGTCTCCTATCCAGAATGAAACAGACTGATCAAAGTCGTGCGAAAAGCAAACTATACAAAAACTGCAGAGGGAATAAAAGAAAAAGAAAGGAAGTTCCAACGACAGCATTTCCTGATTCACTTAGAAGCCAACCTGCTTTTCCTGTTTGAAGAGTTTGCCCTGATGGAAACAGGCAGAGAAAAGGAAATAATATGCAAAAACATGTAACACAGCATTGTATTTAATCTGATTCACTGACAGAACCCAGAATAAACACCTCAGCTGCAGCACCGGGGCCTGAATCCCTTTATAAGAGGATCTGCAGCTTGCCTGAAGATATAAATTCCAATTCTTTTGAAGCTTAATGCTTAACTGCATGCAGTGTAACACTGCAGTTCGTAAGTCAGTCCTTCAAGAACTTTAAGATTAATACTACAGGGGATCAGTACTACACGGCCAGTGCAGAGAAGGCTGATCAGGAAAGCAGCACTTTGTACCACAGACGTAAACGCAGCAGCGTTAAGCCATCGTCATTTGGCTGCAGTAAGCAATTGCTGAGCGTTGCTGAACAGAGAAATCAGGTGTGTAGATTAAAGCAAGCCTTACCCACATGCAGGCCTCCAGCCTGACTTTTGAGATGATCGCCCACAGGGAGATGGATCCGCCGCTCAGCTCCTCGTCAGGGCAGATGATCTGATCCGGGTACGGAGGCTCAGGAAAATTAACTGAGTTACATTCATAGGCAGCAAGAGTAACTGATGCTATGTGTGGACCCTGGAAAAACATAATTCCAAATGGATTTCATGTGAGTTGCAATAAAGATTAAAAGAAAAAACCTGCATTTACCCCATTTGTCTGTGATGCAAAGAACGTAGGCTAACACTTTCTCACTTAGGCCACTGATGATGTTAAATATGCTAAATAACACACAGACTTTTTCTAAGACCATCTGAAGGGCCACCTAAGCTATTAATACTTTTTCAAAAAATTCTCCCTGGTCATCAAATGCAAACATTAAGGAGTCTTTCAGTTTCTGCCATGGCATCGCACAGCACGGCACTGCTGTCAGGGCAAAGGAAGAATCTTTACTGCTTAAAACAGGAACATTCTCAAAACTTTTAAATGGTCTCATTAAGGCATTTACAGCCAGCAGCTTTATGGGAGCAGGTGTTCTCCCTACTCTTGTTTTCAGAGGATGAAAGCATTTAAATTCTATGTTAAGTTTTTGTTTTTTTTTTTTAAACAGAGCTTATTACATCTTCCATTGGAGCTTTGCAACTTTTAGATCTTTCTCCAAAGATCTGTGGCTTTAATTCATGCCTGTATTTCTGCATGTAGCAGAAAGTGACCTCACTGCTGTTTGCTAAAAGTGGTCTGAAATATAAATCAAAACTGTGGTGTTATTTAAATGCCACAGAGATGGATTTCTCCTGCTCTCCATCTTACATTAAACGATTTCTGGGGCAAACCACCAAAAACGAGCATCAGTGTTGACTGAAGAATTCAATGCTTCAGCCTTAAAGAACTGCTGTTGTTTTAATAGACAAGAAGTCGAGAGGCAATCCTACAGCTACATTCTGTACTCTGAACCCAGCACTAGGTGCTGTAGAAGAGAAATCCTTTAAATGAGGTCTATTAGACCAATAACCTGATACCTCCCAAAGCCAGATTTCTTACAAAATAATGAGTGAAATAGAAAGTACGATAGAACCCTACGCTGCCATTTCCCCTTCTGAGGCTCCCAAAGCTCACTTTGAAAAGCAGGAGCCTGAGGTATGAGAATCTTACAGTCTTCATTTGCACATGAGAGGGTGAGATGCTGCAGCCTCGCACTAAAGATGAAGCTTCAGTGCCTTTCTAGACTTAAGAAGATTTTAGTTGTGTTCACTCATGCCAGCATTTTAGGCCTCAACGAAGAGACAAGAGCACCTACACAGCCACATCCACGCAGCAACTTAGCTCATGGCAGTGAGATACGAATTCTGAAGTTCACTGAAGTAAAATAAGAAAGAAGAGATCCAGAATTTGATACACAAGAAGTGATTTGGAAGGAAGAATGAACAAGTGACTTGCAGCATGTACTGGAGACACCATGAGAAGTCACATTGACGATGGGCTCCTTTTTGGTAACAGCTGCAAGATCCTCCCCTCCCATCCCAGCAATTACTGACCTAAACAAACACTGCATTTCTGTTTTACTCATGGAAGACAGGGGCAAAGACGGATTGAAGCTCTCCTCAAATCACCAAGTACATTCATGGCAAACCTGGTAACTTTTCTCCACCATCTTCTAAAGCTCACAGAATTTAGTTGCACCCCCTGCTTCCCCTCCCCAGTCTGACGGCCAACCTGGGACAGAGAAAGGTCTCTTGAACCGTCTTCCTTAACTCACGGATTTCACCTACAGAAATTGGCAGTAGAAGTCTCTTGAACATGAAATTTGCACGGAGGAAATCCCCACGCACTTGATTTTAAATGACCATTTCCTACGTTCCCTTGAGATTAAGCGCAAGCTTGCTGCCGAGGCAGGGCGACATGGTGTGTGAATCAAGAAGTATGATTTTCGGTTCCACAAAATTTGGCAGGTCAGCCACGCTACGGTACAGCTACAGCCAGCTGTGATGGCAGGCCGTTACTTTCAGTTTTACAGTAGTAAAATATCATCTGTGCTGTAATGAAGCTCCCCCATCCTCTTTGCAAGGTTTCACTCGGAGCGCTGCCAGCATTTCTTCTCAAACTGCACACTGTGGTGTAAAGAAAGCTCTGTGCTCCCAAGAGGATGCAAAGACAGAACGCCTTCTCTGGGAGCTCCTTGCCATGAGCTGCTTCTTCCAATGGGGTTACCACCCTCAGAATGGCCCAACAGTCCCAAAGCATCACCTCCTGTTAAGAGCTTAACCAACAGACATCTGCAAAAGGAAACATCTTACTAGTGGCAGCCTGTGGAAAAAATAAAGGCATTTGCAAAGCTGCTGTAAATAGCCAACGAGCCACCTGGAGACTACACCAATTGAACATCATTCTTCTGCTGCAATGTGAACAATTCTATAATGAAAAGAAGTTGGAGTTACGGAACCCACTGAAGCCACATTTTAACTGGAATAAGAAATAAAGCATAAGCAGTTCACGTAGAGCGATGAAGTGCAGGGTCTTTGAAATCAGGCAGAGCCAAAGGAGAGCAGAACAATCCCGTGTCCTCGCAGTGCAGCCCAGCTGTCCCGCGAGTCAAAGGGCCAGCAGCTCGCAGCTCGGCAGCCTCATGCATCACCCCCACATCTGCTTTTGTTCAAGCGCTGCTTTGAGAGCTCACACAGAGCTCAGCACTTCCACAGAGCCCGGTTACCAAGCACCTCCCAAAACAATGGCTGGCTGACCAGGGCTGTGGCCGCAGGGAGGGTCTGTGTGTTGCAGAACAGGCACCATTTTGCTCTGTGGGGCTGTTTTAACTCTGCTTTAAGAGGACGGGGAGCCAACTCCAGGTGCCACCTTTGGGGAATCCCAGGCAGTCCACACTCAGATGCACAATCTGTGCCCCTTTGAGTCACAAGGACTCATTTCACGCTGGTTTTTAACCCTCTCCAAGCAATACTTTCCCATCACCTTCTCCCCCTCTGCACATACTCAGAGGTTTACCTCTTTCAATGCTTTAGGAAAACCTCTAAGACATCTCCTCTGCAACTCCACCTTTAAAAATAGCTCCATAAAACTACTTCAAACCCTCATACCAGACAACAAACACTAAAACCAGCCGACTCAGTAGACGTGCTGCTTGCCAAACCAGGAACAGTCACAGAAATTCGAGGCATGTAAGATCCTGAACACAACTGTCTTTTCCTCACCCTCTTCCAATGAAGCTTTTTTTCCCCATTGCAGGAGGCACTCACAAGGGCCAACGCAGGAGAAATTGAGAAACGTTCTGCTGACTCGGGCTAGAAGCATTTGCTTGCCACTGCTGACGACCAGCAGGAGCCTGTGGTCAGGCTGGAATGCCATTTGTTAGAAATATCTGTGCCATTTAAAATCAAACAGGACAAGAGCTGGTCACCAAGAGCAACTCAACATAAATCTATGCTTTAGTAATAGTAATCTGGGGAACGGCTGGAAATCCCTATTTGCACAACTCTTAGAGAAGGCAACCTTGAACTCCTGAACTCACAGCCTTCAGAGAATTTGGAAGTTTAGTGACTGAAGTCACCCCAGATAGAATAGATGCTGCTAATCCTTAGAAACGAGTTATTTCAAATGTGTTATGAAACGTCTAGAAAGTAGAGTCTTTTTTAAAAAAAATAAAAAAATCTATAAATCACATTTGGAAATTCACCTCTGCAAGGCAAGACCTCTAAAAACACACTGATGTTCATCTTATTTACAACAGAGAAGTCTTTACCAGGAGGAGAAATGACTGCATCTCCAATTAAGAGTGAATCACGTTTTCATGTTATTAATCACTCTGTGCACCCAGACTGCGAACAAACCCATAGCTGCAAACAACTGCATCTCAAAGGCACTCCTCTCACATGTCCCTGCACACAACAGCCATCCTGCTTGAGTGCTGCAGCACAAGAACAGCATCTAATTTTAACCTTTTCTCTTTGGAGAAGACATAATTTTAGACTGATTCTAATTTAGAAATATTAGAAAAGTGATACGTCTGCAGCAAGAAAAATATTACCCTGAACTCACTGCTGAACTTAATGCACTAAAAATCTGTTTTCCTTCGTGAACATGGAGCTTTTCACACTGGCCTCAAGACTCAGCCCTTCCACAGTGGGGGAAACATGTCATTTTATATTTGATTCAGATAAATTAGAAAAGCAAAAGTTTGCTTCTCATGGGAAACATCCTGCAAGCACTGCCCCAGGCTGCGACTCATCTCATACTTGTCTCTGAAGCCACTACACCTCTCCAGAAAGTAACACCATCTTATAGCACTTTTTTTTTTTATCTCCAGGAGCAGCAAACAGCTGCCCACAAAACAAGCTGCTCTGTGATTACAGGAGGAAAACTGGGTCTGGAGGTGGTCAGTAAATATGTTGATCCAGTCTGTCTGTGTGACGAGATTAAAACGTCTCGTGATTTGATGTGCTGTCTGGTATGCAGTACAGGACATAGAAAGGGTCTCAGAATGAAGAAGGATCCCATACCTACAGCATCCTCTGGTGACACAAGTATCCATCAGGCAGCCAGGGCTCTAGCACACCATCATGGCATTTCAAGCAACATATTAACTTCACAGTCACATGTCTGTTAGCAAGTTTCCATTCCCACTTCAGTCAAGCTTTGCCCCACGGTGCAGAGCTGATGGAAATTCCAAACGATGAGCCACAAGCTCTGAATATGACTGAACATGAACCACCAAGGGAGCAGGCATGTGGTCCTACGGAATGCAGAATGGGGCCATGTTGCTACTTTGAGGAGTAGCAAGAAAAGCAGACGCTTTGTAAAGCTATGCCCACGCTGCTTTCTATAGGAGCAGTCACACGGAGCCACGTCAGGAAAAGGCACAACTGGAAGAATTCAAGTTCATACTCTGGTGCTGACAGAAGACAAAAATAATCTGTCAACATTTTTTCCTCACCCTTCCTTAGTCAACCACTTATTATTACTAAGGAATAAATCACAGCATCTACTCAAATTGACACTAGCAGCGATGACTGGCTTTAATGCCTTCAATTAGAGATTGCCTTGCACTGTTATCATTATTTCCAGCCTGCTCAAGGAAGCGGGGACGAGAAAAGCACAAAGTTCAGGCTGCTCATTTGGAAAGAAAAAAC